AACGCCTGGACCGACATTGGTCCAGGCTTTGCACTTGGTTTTCTGGGGAAGGGATGCCGCAGACCCCAAACCACAAAAAGCATAAGAACAAACAACATATACCATTGAAAACCTTAGTCAAGCAAACGACGTGACGTTTCACGCCTTCAGCTCCCTGGCCATATCCTCCTGGCACCTGCATTGGCGCTCAGGGTTTTGGGTGTGTAGGGTCTCCAGGATTTAGGGCTTATCAGGTTCAAGGCTCAGGGGTTAGGACTGTTTAGGCTTGAGGCTCTTGGGCTTATATGGGCCTTTCGGGTTTCAAGGCTTACGAAGTTAGGGCTCGACTCCAAAGTACCTTAAGCTATGCGCAGATTGCCTCCAGAAATAAATTCAACTACATATAAGCCCTGGTAGGTTCTGCGTCCAAAGCATTTCATAAAGTGAAGCCGTTGGGGATCTGTGAATAAGCTCCTGGGCCCCATCGATGCTTTTAAGGGTCCCTGCACCTACAATAATTTCTACTTCTGCCCTAAAGCTACTATGTAGGAGCCCCTTTTGAGCCCCAAGTATCACCTGTCTAGGCACATGGACCCTCAGGGTTAGGGTACCAAACCCTGAACCCTAAAAGCCCTAAACCTCTGAACCCCTAAACCCCTAAACCCCTGAACCCCTAAAACTCTAAGCAACTAAACCCCTGAGCCCCAAAACCCCTAAACCCCTACCAAGTGTGCAACTAGCCCTCAACCCTCAACCATAAACCCTAACCCGCTACATGCTAAACCCTAAACCCTAAACCCTAAACCCTAAACCCTAAACCCTAAACCCTAAACCCTAAACCCTAAACCCTAAACCCACGAGTCCGCCTCTGCTCCACGCTGCGCACCAGCACCTCCAGGCGCTCAGCCGCGCCGAGGAGCGAGACGCGCTGCTCTGGGCCAGGGGGGGGGGGGGTTTGGGCCTTGGGGTGGATTTGAGGTGGGTTTTCGGGTGGATTTGAGGTGGGTTTTTATGGCCTGAGGTTTTAGTAGGGAGTCTAGGGGTTTAGGGAAGTTGAGGGGGTTTTATGGTCTTAGGTTTTACTAGGGAGTTTAGGGTTTAGGGGGGGGGGTTTCTGGTCTTAGGTCTTCGGTTTTAGTAGGGAGTTCAGGGTTGTCAGTGATTCTTTTTAAGGGAGGGGCGGGGGGGGGGGGGGGGGGGGGGGTTGGGGTTTTCGGGGGGACTTCGGGTTCTAGGGATGAGGGTTTCGGCGCCTTTGGGGGGGTTTGGGGGCTCAAGGGTTAACCCTAAGGATCCATGTACCTATATGGTATATACTTGGGCCCTAAAGCTACTATATAGGAACCCCTTTAAGGCCCAAGTATATACTATACAGGTACATGGATCCTTTGGGTAAGGGTTGTTCATGGCTGTCGAAGGGCATATAAAGTGCATGAGGAGTACTAGAAAGGCTTGCATGCTATGGGGCCATGTACAATGGCCCATTTTGGTGTGTGTGTGTGTGTTGTGTATATGTATATATATATATATATGCTCACCCCCCCCCAATGGACCCACCGCGGATGGCAGCCGAGTCCTAGCCAGATCAAGGCAAAAAAGCAACAAAACAAGAAACTAACAAAAACCAACAAACCAAAAAAATCCAAAAAACCAAAAAAACCAAAAAAAATAAAAAAAAAAAACCATCTTTTCCAAAACTATGGGGCTGGGGCCTCCAAAAGATGGTTTTTTTGGTTTTCTCGAGAAAAAGATGGTTTTTTTGGTTCGAAACCATCTTTTTCTCGAGAAAAAGATGGTTTTTGAGCAGCCGCTCTTCGAAAAACCATCCTTTTCTCGAGAAAAAGATGGTTTTACCAGGACAAGACCTCCAAAAACCATCTTTTTCTCGAGAAAAAGATGGTCTTACCAGGACAAGACCTCCAAAAACCATCTTTTTCTCGAGAAAAAGATGGTTTTTCCAGGACAAGATCTCCAAAAACCATCTTTTTCTCGAGAAAAAGATGGTTTTTCGAAGAGCGGCTGCTCAAAAACCATCTTTTTCTCGAGAAAAAGATGGTTTCGAACCAAAAAAACCATCTTTTTCTCGAGAAAACCAAAAAAACCATCTTTTGGAGGCCCCAGCCCCATAGTTTTGGAAAAGATGGTTTTTTTGGTTTTTTTGGTTTTCTTGGTTTTCTCGAGAAAAAGATGGTGTTTTGGTTCGAAACCATCTTTTTCTCGAGAAAAAGATGGTTTTGAGCAACAACCCTTCGAAAAACCATCTTTTTCTCGAGAAAAAGATGGTTTTACCAGGAGAAGACCTCCAAAAACCATCTTTTTCTCGAGAAAAAGATGGTTTTACCAGGACAAGACCTCCAAAAACCATCTTTTTCTCGAGAAAAAGATGGTTTTTCCAGGGCAAGATCTCCAAAAACAATTTTTTTCTCGAGAAAAAGATTGTTTTTCGAAGAGCGGCTGCTCAAAAACCATCTTTTTCTCGAGAAAAAGATGTTTTCGAACCAAAAAAACCATCTTTTGGAGGCCCCAGCCCCATAGTTTTGGAAAAGATGTTTTTTTTGTTTTTTTTGGTTTTTTTGGTTTTCTCGAGAAAAAGATGGTTAAGTTTTAGGGGTTTAAGCCTCGTGCACTACAGGGTTATAAGGTTCTAATCCTATAGGTATTGCCTTAACCTTTAACCCTAAACCTTTAACTTTAAACCCTGCAGGGTTAACCCCGTGAGAAATTTAGAGATAGACCCCGAAAAGACCCTAAACCTTCTTACACGGTGTAATGGTTTAAAAACCGATAGGACATGTATACCTTCAGCGCCTGTAGGGTTCAAGCCTTTGAACGTGCTAGACCCCTATAGGGTGCTAAGGTTCTGACCCTAAAGGGTTTAGGGTTAAGGCTTAAATGCCCTCTAGGTTTAAATGCCTAAGTCTTAAACACCAAACCTTTAAACCTTCATCCTATGGGGTTTGAAGGTCAAGGGTTTAGGCTTGATTGCCGAGGGCTTTAGGGTCTTGACCCTAGAGGGTTTAGGGTTAAGGAATAGATGCGTAAACCTTAAACCCTTAAGGTTTAAACTCTATGGGCTTAGGTTTTAATGTCTAAATTTTAAACCCTAAGCCTTGAAACCTTCACACTACAGAGTTTAGAGGTGTTAAGGGTGACAAATTGATTACATACTTAGCTTTAAATGCCTGAATCTTAAACCCCAATTCTTTAAACCTTAACCCTATAGGGTTTAAAGGTTAAGGGCTTAGTGTTAATCGCTGTCTTAGGTTTAAATGTCTGAATCTTAAACCCTAAAACTTTAAACCTTCACCCTATAGGGTTTAAAGGTTAAGGGTTTAGGTCGAATCGTCAGCTTAGATTTAAATGTCTAAGTAAAGAATCCTAAACCTTTAAATCTCATCCCTATGGGGTTTAAGGTTAAGGGTTCAATATGAACTGCCGGCATAGGTCTAAATACCTAAACCTTAAACTTAAACCCTAAACCTTTAAATGTCTTAACCCTGTAGGGTTTAAAGGTTAAAGGCTTAGCGTTAATTGCCGGAATAGGTTTAAATGCCTAAATCTTAAGCCCGAAACCTTTAAACCTTAGCCCAACAGGGTTTAAAGGTTAAGGGTTTAAAATTAGTTGCAGGCTTAATTAGGTTTAAATGCCTACATCTTATATCCTAAACCTTTAAAAATCTAAACCCTATAGGGTTTAAAGGTTAAGGGCTTGGCTACAGGTTTAAATGGCTAAATATTAAATCCGAAACCTTTAAACCTTAGCCCAACAGGGTTTAAAGGTTATGGGTTTAAAATTAGTTGCAGGCTTAGGTTTAAATGCCTACATCTTAAAGCCTAAACCTGTAAAAATCTTAACCCTATAGAATTTAAAGGTTAAGGGCTTAGCTTTAATTACCGGCATAGGTTCAAATGCCTAAATCTTAAACCCTTAACAATTAAACCTTAACCCTACAGGGTTTAAGGTTAAGGGTTTTTTTGCAGGCTTAGGTTTAAATGCCTAGATCTTAAATTATAAACAAAAGCCAGCAGAAAGAAAAACCCTCCGTGTGTGTGTGAGAGGGTGAATTAAGGAATACAGTCAAAAATCCGGTCACCGGAAAATCACCAGACAGCAGAGGTTTTAGCGGTATTTGCGGTACTTTTGCAAAGATCAAGGCCTGCGGTGGGTCCATTGGGGGGGGGGGGGTGACCATATATATATATACACATGTATATATATAGAACCGAGACGGACTTCATCAACGAATCGGAATTCATCAACGACAAAATTGGAGAACAATCTAACTACTCTTCGCTGAAAAGCCAGATTCTTGTCCCAAAACCCAAAATCCAACACCCTAACTAACCCTGAAAGCCTCTAAATCCCCACAGCCTTCCAGCGCTGCTGACAGCTTGGAAGTCACTGCCTGGCACTGGGCTGATGTATTTCTCTAGACATTTAGAGCGCAGAGATATGCTTACATACATATAGAGATATCTGTGTAGTTGGTTTGTAACAAGATGCTCAATGACATGTATAAGTGTTGCTTTTGTTTAGCTTCTTATACACATAGGCCTAGGTTAGTATATACCTAAACCCTAAACCCTAAACCCTAAACCCATAACCCATATACCCAAGGCCCACCTTGAAAACTTGCCCCCCCCCCCCCCCTTTCCAAGGTAATGAGGACCTGTGGTTGTGCAGCTGCTTGGTGTTTTTCTAGTACACCTATACCTCAACTACTGTCGGGTTCTAGGAGGAATGAAGGGTGTAGCTATCCTACCTGCCACTCTACCCACAGATTTCAAGTAAGCTGTGAGGGTTTAAGGTTCAGGGGTCGGGGTTGAAAGCGCTGTTCGGGATGTCAGGGTGTAGTAGGGGCTCGGGCCCCTAACAGTTTCAGATGCCTTGCAGGGGCATGTACTCTACTACAGGCTCAAAGGGTTTAGGGTTTAGTGCTTAGGGTTTAGGGTTTAGGGCTGGATGATGTGGGGGTTTCCGAAAAGAGGGGTATACTTTTTGGGGGTTCCAATAATCAGGATTATAGTATTTGGGGTATGTAAGGGGTACCCCTTTCGGGAAATCCCCATGTTGCTGTTGTGTTGGTGTGTGCTGAACACTCCCTTTTGTAATTCCGTAGAGTGGACATCACATAGGTTGACGTTGCATCCGAAACGCTGTAGGCTGGCATCGAAGTCAGCACGCAGTGACTGCTGGCCCCTGCAGCGAGGAGAGATCGTATGTCGGATCGAAGTAGCTGAAGCCGCTCTTCAGCACATCGTAGTTTGTGGTCTTCTTGTAGCTTCTCCAGCTGCGACTCAAGCACACCACGCCCTGGGCCTTCGAACCTCCACAACTGTTTTTGCAATCCACGGATGCTCTCTGCCCTTGCCAGACCTAGGAGACTCAATCGCCGGTAGCGACCTTGATTTCCTGCCTCGGCCTGGAGTTTGCTTCGGACCTCGTGGAAGTCCTGTTTGCAAATGTTCATCGCAATCCGTGCGGCCTTGCGCTTCGCCCGCAAACCTGCAGCCACCAAGCTCGCAAGTACATACTTGCAATCTGCACTTCTGTGTATAGTCAGTCGATGGAAAGCATTCTTTCTATCTCTGTATATTGAGCAGTGTACACCTTGCGCTGCCAAGAAAACCTCGAAGGCCTGGAGGACTTGCGGATGCTTCTGCCCGATGTCCAACCTCACGTACGCAGGTCGTCTCGTTGAAATGCTGCCTTCAGCATCGAAGAACCCCGCCAAGTAGTGCCAAGAGGGGCATGAAACTGGAGGAGGCTCTTCTCTCTTCAACCTCTTCAAGTCAGCAAGGGCGCAAGCCTGCAAGCGGAGGTGCTGCCGCCACTGGCTGGCAATGGCCAATTGGGAGCGCTTGCAGCAAGAGCTGCCCAGCAAAACAGCCGCTGCGCGCTGAGCAGTTTGAGCATAGACCTGCCACATCAAGCATGGTCTCCACAAGCCCACGGTGGCGGTGTGTCTGATGATTCCACCCCCCAATACATTTCTGAAGAACAGCAGCACGCTGCTTGAAGACTGGGTTTGTGTCACAGAGAGCTTGACGCAACCACCAGTGCCCTGGACACAGCCATCACCATCGAAGAAGCCAGCCAGGTAATCGCGCACTCGCACTGACACATGCTTACGTGGCTCAGCATGTTCAGCACGCAAGGGCAAACGATACCTTCTCCCGATGGCCTCGAAATAGCTTGCGGCGGGCAGGCGGAGGCGCGCCTGAAAACGCCGGAGCTGTTCAAAGCGGCGCTGCAGCTGCTGCAGGGTCAGCGGTGTGCCAGCACACGTTGACATCGCAAGAGAAAGCAGCGTTTGATCAGAGTGGAGCCTCAACAGCTTCATTTCCGTCAGTCTCTAACTGAAACTGCATGGGTAGTGAAGAAAACCATGATCGAATGCAGTGGCGTGTTCATGCTTGTTCTATGGCTCGGGGGTATGAACCTTTCTTGTCCTCAAGCCCAGACCTCGTGATCCTCTTGGCCCCCTGAGAAGACCCTAAATCATACACCGAAAAGCCCTCCCAAGCCGAGGCAGCCCTAAGCCCATGAGCCCTTTTACGACTATCAACCCTAAACCATAAACCCCTTAAGCCGCTCAATGTGCTTAGACAGATGAAGAGTTTAATTGCAAGAGAAGCAAGAGAGAGAGAGAGAGAGAGGGAGAGAGAGAGAGAGAGAGCGACAGAGCGACAGAGCGACAGAGAGAGAGAGAGAGGATGTCTTGCTTGCAAGGACACCACCAACTGGAAGCCCAGGGCATCCAGGATGTTACCAACCTGTCCTCCCCCCTGCGAGAAAAAAAGGTGTTTGCGCTAAAGCCCCCCCCCCCCAAAAAAAAAAAAAAAAAAAAAAAACAAAAAAAAGAGATTAGACGGTGTCATTTCAAAGAGCTGCATCAGAAACCTAGCAAGGAGCGGTGCAAAAACGGATGTTTTTGCTTGCATGGAATCAGATTGTCGGACCCAACCCCCCACCCCCCACCCCCCTCAGCCCTAGTTACACTCGAAAAAAAATCTCTAAAGCCCTATAAAAACCCTAAACTCCCCAAACTCCAAAGTCCTAAACTCCACAGATCTCTTGGGCCAAGCAACCCTGAACTCAAAACAATTCTGAGGACCCAAGCACATCCCGCAACTCTGAACCCCCAGGAAGCACTGAGCCCTAAACCCCCTCAAAATGGCGGACATGGCCTCCCGAACGTGTCCTTCCTTCTCGAGTTGCTCCTGCGGTAAGGCAAGGTTTCCCAGCAAGCTGATAGAAGGGGAAAAGGGTTTAGAGTTTACGGCCTAGGGTGTAGGTTTTGGGGTATAGGTCTGGGGCGTAGGAAAAAATTTTGAGAGTAGGGAGGGAGCCCAAGCAAAGCGGAAACACCGGTACTATAGGGGTCGGAATAACTACTAATGTTACTCCCTTAGGGTGCCTGTAAAAAATATACTATAATCACCCCTAACCCTATTCTAAGCATTCAGGCCCCTATACTATGAAGTTGGGCGTCCGAGAAGCTTTAGGGTTTAACTATGATGGTTTTCAACCAGGGTCCTTCTCTTGGTAGTTAGGGTTTAGGGCTTGCGGTTTGCGGTTTGTAAGGATAAGGGCAGAGGGGTCCGCAAGCAGCGTGCAAGCACAAGCTTTGCCTACAGGCTTGGCCCTCCTGCTTGAGGCTATGAACCTTCAAGGTTTCGGGCTTAAAAGGCTTTAGGGCTTAAGAGGCTTACAAGTGACCAGGCCTTGGAGCTTGGGGTTTAGGGTTTGGAGTTTAGGGTTTCGGGTTTAGGATTAGGGTTTAGGGTTTAGGGTTTAGGGCTTAGGGCTTAGGGCTTAGGGGCTCTCAAGTGCGCCCTGCACCCCGAAACCCCCCGGGGGGGCTCGCCGTGAGCTGCTTCTTGGCCGCCTCTAAGGCTTGCCTCCGGAGCAGAGAACAGGGTCTTGGGTTTCTTATCCCTGTAACCCTGAAACCCAAAAACCCTAAAACCCTTGACCCTCTAGAACATCTGCACTAAACTTTTAAACCTTTGACTTCGTGGCAGTAGGCGGTGCCAACGTGTGTCGACTTGCAAGCCATTTCGACTTAGTAAGTAGGGTTTAGGGTTTAGGGTTTAGGGTTTAGGGTTTAGGGTTTAGGATTTAGGGTTTAGGGTTTAATTAAGGTTTAAGGTTTAGGGTTTGGAGTTTGGGGTTTGGAGTTTAGGGTTAGTAAGGTGGGTGGTGGGGATTTTAAGAGAGCTTCTAGGGATACTAAGCAGACTTACTAAGCAGGGTTAGTAAGGTGGGTGATGGGGATTTTCAGAGGGCTTCTAGGGGGATACTAAGTAAGAGGGCTTCTAGGGTATACTAAGTAGACTTCCTAAGTCAGCAAGAGCTTCCAAGGAGGGACCCTTGTAAGGGACCCTAGTTGCATACTTGCTGTTTTGGTCTTGGGTATCCAAGCACTACCCTAAGGATCCATGTACCTATATAGTATATACTTGGGCCCTCAAGCTACTATATAGGAACCCCTTTAAGGCCCAAAAACATACTATATAGGTACATGGATCCTTTGGGCTAGGCTATTTATAGTAACGGTGCGTATCCCATGAAGCCATTGAAGATGAGACAAGAGCACGCCAGCATGCTAGAAACATGGTCTTCTGTGTCTACAAGATTGGAAACCTAGTTCGGTTATGGTCGTCATCGTCACTATTAAACGGATCTTACATGCCCATTGCGTTTCATTGAACTGACATAACAGAGACGAAGTGTAGTAATGTGATCACATACTAGTAGTGGTGATGACAATCGCAAGCTGTCAGTGGCAGTTGCTCACATCGTGCATACTTCTTTTGGCCAGGACTTTGGACTGAGAGCATGAAGATGTTCCTCCCTCGGCGATTCGTGTATATGGTCGGTCCCAAACGACCGACTCAAGCACGTAGACTGCAGCCACACATGCTTCCTATTCAGCAAACTGCGCAGCGTGGCTGCTGCTCGGAGGGACTTACCTTAAGAGAGGCTGTTGCGCTGGTTGAGATGTGCTTTCTCGTGCTTCGATGGTTCCTCGCCTGGAAAGCACGTGATCCGCCCCAACTAATACAAGGACAGCCAGTTCCACTACACACACGACCACAACAAACAGAACCAAGCCACCAAAGCATTCTTCTGTCACACGTTCTGGATCCATGTCGATCAGTGTCTTTGTAAAACTGTGGTTGATATAGCATGCTCCCACCAACAAGAGCATGAGCAAGACGACATTCTTGATAGAGCAGACAAGGCTCTGAATAAAGAATCCGACACCCCACCAGTTCAAAAGCTGAATCAACCCCTGCAGGTAGCGTACGACGTAGGGGTCGAATGCTTCCAGGGCGCAAGCTGTACCTTCGTCTCTCGGCGACACGACGCTCCAAGCACTCGAAAGCAGCAAGAGGAGGACGACGAGAGTGTGCAAGACCCGAGCCACTTTGCCATAGATCGTAGCCGCTGGTACTGGTGCCGTCCAAAAACTGCTTGGATTGGTGCTGTGACGATCTTCGGTTGTTGACATCCTTGGGGACGACATGAACCCTAAAAGGGCTTCTGGTTCATAACATACCTTACGAGGAACTATAGTAGTATAGAGTATCTCATAATATACCTTCATAGGAACTGTGGTAGTATAGAGTAAGTATATCATCATATACAACTCTAGTGGTATAGAGCATATGACCCGGGTTCTGTCGGTCCCCAAGGGCGAAGGACATCGAACTAACGATGGTTACCGCGCATACGTCCGTGGAAGTGCATATATGGTGGTTTCCGAAATGGGGGGGGGGGGGGCCTTATTTGGGGGTCCGTATTGTAAGGGAATCCTACTATTTGGGGGGGGGGGGGGGTCTCCTTCGAACACCCCCATATAAGAACAAGCGATTCCAAGTAGATGATGCCACTGCCACCTTCGATTTAAAAAAAAATTCTGCTATGCGTGACCACGACTGAATGGGACTTACCAATATGCCGCCCTGTATTGCATGTCTTGATGCGCGACTCAATGGGACAAACCACACAGCCCCTACACCCTAATCCCTCAAACCCCAACAGCAATGTAAGCAATGTAACCCCATTTCCTCCCTAAACCTTAAACACTTATCCCTAAGGCCCCAAGACAGGACTCTTCAAGAACAAATGTTGTAGATACTTTTCAGCCAAAGAGACTATATACATGGGCGGTCCTCTGAACCACAGTAACTTTTGCCGATTGTAATGCGGAGCCTTCTGCTTTAGGGGTTTAGGGTTGAGGGTTTAAGGTTTAGAGCTCATATGCTAATTTACGACAATAAGGAACCCTAGCGTAAACCACCCAAGTAGTAGGATTCCCTCATAATAAGGACCCCGATAAGGTACTCCTAGTATCGCAAACCCCTATATTGCATGTACGGCGTCAGATCTGTTCGGATGTCCTGAACGCCTCTGTGCAAGCTCAAGGGTCTGACCGCCCCAACCCCTAAGGCGTCAACGCTCAACCCTGAACCCGAACCTTCAAAGCCCAAAGAGCAGTTCAGGGCGTCGGGTCACCATAAGGGTCCATGTACCTATATAGTATACTTGGGCCTTAAAGGCGGGGTTCCGGTATAGTAGCTTTAGGGCCCAAGTATATTGAAGTGGGGGGTATATTTCTTGTACCCCCCCTAGACCACACCCAATGTATACACTCACCAATATTATCAAGGACATACATACACTCACCAAAAAACAGAAATTTCATCGCTGCTTCAATATAAAGGTACATGGACCCTTAGGGGGTGTAGGGTTTATGGGATTTACAGGGCTTCGGGCTGCGGACCCCCGACAGCCTAGCAATTCATGAAGCCCTAAACCCGAAACACTGCAGACCTCCGACCCTAATCTTGCAAGGGGGCTGTTTTGGGACTTAGGGACGCGAAATTCTTCCGGGTTTAAGATTTGGGGTAAATTTGGGGTTTAGGTTTAGGGTTAGGGTTTAGGGTTTAGGGTTTAGGGTTTAGGGTTTAGGGTTTAGGGTTTTAGGGTTTTAGGGTTTTAGGGTTTTAGGGTTTTAGGGTTTAGGGTTTAGGGTTTAGGGTTTAGGGTTTAGGGTTTAGGGTTTAGGGTTTAGGGTTTAGGGTTTAGGGTTGTTTGCTCCGCCCGGCCTGCACAGTTCGCCCTGCTCAGCCACGGAGCTCTTCATCTTGGACCTTACATCGAAGGGCTTGGGATCTAGGTGGTTTAGGGTTTAGGGCTTAGGGTTTCGGATTTAGGGGTTTAGGGGTTTAGGGGTTTAGGGGGTTTAGGGGGTTTAGGGGTTTAGGGGTTTAGGGGCTTAGGGGCTTAGGGGTATAGGGGTTTAGGGGTTTAGGGGTTTCGGGTCTGAGGGTTTAGGGTTTCGGGCTGAGGCTCTAGGATTTGAAGGGATAGCTTTGGAGGGTTTCGGGTTTTGGGGGCACTTTGAAGGGGTGTAGAATTCAAGGTTCAATGCTTCTGTAGGTCCAGTTTGCAGCCGTAATATACCCCGCAGGAAAAAACATGCAGGTTCCTAACACACCCTGAACGCTTCGTGTGAGAAACATAGAATCAGGGTAGAGAGTTCGGGTCGAGGCACAGAAAAGTGCCGTGATACTGCAATTGTTCAACTTATACGCTTTTCCTGTTTATGGCAACTTAACTGAAGCAGTCCTGCACGTGAGACCAAAAGTCACACATACGCCTGAACTCCCCGTTCTCCCCCAAACCTCGAAAGCTACAATGGCCAGGACAAGGGCTTGGGTTTAGGGTTTACGGTTTAGGGTTTAGGGTTTAGGGTTTAGGGTTTAGGGTTTAGGGTTTAGGGTTTAGGGTTTAGGGTTTAGGGTTTAGGGTTTAGCGTTTAGGGTTTAGCGTTTAGGGTTTAGGGTTTAGGGTTCAGCATCTCAAGTCCAAGCATTCACTAGTCAAGCAATTACTCCAGGAAAATACCCACCCGCCCAAAGAATCCCACAACATTAAGAAAATATTTTACTTGTAGAACGACCTTGCCCATGCCCAGTAAAACGGCGACCTTGCAAACGGCGACCTTGCCCAGTAAAACGGCGACCTTGCCCAGTAAAACGGCGACCCTGCCCAGTAAAACGGCGACCTTCGGACACCCCCCCCTGCCCAGTAAAAATGCTACCTTGGGCCCCGAAGGTCGCCGTTTTACTGGGCAAGGTCGATTTTGGTCAAAAAATCGACCTTGCCCAGTAAAACGGCGACCTTGCCCAGCAAAACGGCGACCTTCGGGGTCCAAGGTCGCATTTTTACTGGGCAGGGGCGGAAGGTCGCCGTTTTACTGGGCAAGGTCGATTTTTTTGACCGAACTGACCTTGCCCAGTAAAACGGCGACCTTGCCCAGTAAAACGGCGACCTTGCCCAGAAAAACGGCGACCTTGCCCAGTAACTCCTTAACATTTAAATTATATATGAAAGAGAGGTTTAGGGTTTAGGGTTTAGGGTTTAGGGTTTAGGGTTTAGGGTTTAGGGTTTAGGGTTTAGGGTTTAGGGTTCGGGTTCCGGGTTCCGGGTTGCGGGTTTCGGGTTTAGGGCTTCGGGCTTAGGGTATAGGGTTTAGGGTTAGGGTCTGCTTGAAGATTCGCAATTTGTTACAGTTACTTGTAAGGGTTGTTGCCATGAATAGTGCTACGACTTTATACTTTCAAGTGCCCACGGAACTTCATTCAGAACCTCCAGCCCAAACCCCTAAACCTCAAACCCTAAACCCCAAACCGCAAGCCCGCAAACCGAAACCCCAAACCCTAAACCCCAAACCCTAAACCCCAAACCCTAAACCCTAAACCCCAAGTCCTAAACCCTAAACCCCAAACCCCAAACCTGAATCCGAAGCCTCGGGTGATGGTCCATCGGCCTCCGGCCCGACCCTGACCTAACTCCTCATCCCCTACCCCTACACCCCAAACCCTACTTGGAGGTTCATGGTACTTAGTAACCCAAATACAAGTGTACGTATTACCCACTTATAAGCCCCTTGATTACCCTATGTGGGTATACGTGGGTTATAAGTACAGATATATTTGGCTTACTAAGTACCATGAAACTCCAAGTAAACCCTGAACCAACTCCTCAACCCCCCCCTCTGAAGTCAGCAGCAAGACCCAAGAGCAACCTGAAAATAGAAGAAGGTGCCCTTTTTGGTTTAAAGGTGCGTATAAGGGACCCTGAACCTAAAACATGTATACAAGGGATCAGGGCCTACTTTGGGTCCTAGAAACTCAAAAAACTAAACCCTAAACCCTAAACCCTAACCGCTGAACCGCGAAACCGCTAAACCCTAAACCCTAAACCCTAAACCCTATAAGCCCCCCTAAACTTCCTAAACCTGTCCTCAAATTGGACCCCGGAGCTCTGGGATCTCCCGCTTCATGGTCTTCAGAACCTGATCCACTTCTTCCGCCAAGCTCTGGCGCGTGGAGGCCTGCTTATGGTTTGGGGTTTAGGGTTTAGGGTTCAGGGTTTAGGGTGTAGGGCTTAGGGTTTGGGGTTTAGGGTCTAGCACCCCCAAACCCTGAGCCTACACCAAAACCCGAAACCTATAAACCCCACAGACATGAACCTTAGTAGACTGCAGCCTCTATCGGGCGAAGCACCCAAACTGAACAGTCGGTTCTGCTCCGTTCTGCGTCGTCACGGCGCAGACCCTACGCCCCAAACCCTAAAGAAACTACGCTCAACAGCTCTAAAGCCCTAGAGACCTTAAGCTCGACCTTCCCAATAGTCCATTAGGGTTAAGGGTTTAGGGTTTAGGGTTGAGGGGCTGCGAAGCACACCTCTAGGCTCTTTTTGGATATGTGCGTTCCGCGATCCGCCATGACGCACGTTGGCCATCCGGCCCATTTGAACGGCACTCAGGCATGCATCCGCTGATCATGGGCCATAGTTCGTCGCGTTCACCTCTTGGAGGACTTCTCTTTGCTGAAAAATCGGCCGCCAAATCCACGATGTTGAGGCATTGGTACTTGTGCTTCTCGCCCGTGGCTTCCGACACGTCGACACGCACAGTGTTGTTGAAGTGATACTCGACTGGATGAGGTCTTGGTCCAGGTGCCGTCTTGACGCAGATGTCACACCTCGCCAATCCAGCCGTTTCCCCCCCCCCCCCCCTTATACCACAAATAGGGCTGGCCAAAAACCAAGATACCCGAAATTGCCCTAAACCCTGCACCGCATACACCCTGAACCCTGAACCCTGAACCCTGAACCCTAAAGCCTAAACCCTAAACCCTAGCGGGCACCGTCAGCCCCGAAACCCTAACCCTCAGCATAAAACCCTCTTGCGCCCCGAAGCCCCAAATGCGAAACCCTAAACCCGAATCCCTAAACGTTCAGCAGCATTTGTTCGGGTAGTTACATGGTCTCTTAGTATGGGCACTTTTGCAAGGGGACCCCTTGCCCAACCCAAGAGTCCATACTTCAGAACCCTTGGAGGGAGGTAAGGGACCCTTCGGGTTTAGGGTTCGGGGTTTAGGGTTTAGGATTTAGGATTTAGGGTTTAGGGTTTAGGGCCTCAGCCCTAAACCCTCAAGCCTAAACCGCCTAACTTACCAGCCCCCTGCCTAGACCAAGAGTAGCCAAGGAAGAATCAAAAATGGCACCCCTTTTCGTTCAAAAGGGTCGGTAAGGGAACCCAAACCCTAAAACAGGGTCTACTCCGGGTGCTAGTTGTAGGGGAACTTGATATCTACGCCCCTGATTCCCTGTCAAGAACCAGCACCCGTAAACCCTAAACCGTTGAAAACCCTACACCTCGAATTACCCCGAAACCCCAACCCTCAAACCCTAAACCCTCTGACCCTGTACCCCTAAACCCCAAACCCTAACCCTACAGCCTCTACCCCTAAGCCCTAAACCCCAAACCCTAAACCCTAAACCCCTAAGCCCTTAAACAAGACACAGACATCCAAACCTCCGTCTCCAACGCGCTGCTCAGCTCCTTGTGCTCTTGGAGGGGTTTGGAGGGTTTTGGGGCTTAGGGGAGTTCAGGGGTTTGGGTGGGGTTTAAGGTTTAGGGTTTAGGGTTTAGGGCTAGGATTTTTTTTTTTTTTGGGGAGGGGGGGGGGGGGGGGGGGGGGGGGGCGGTTGAGGGTCTAGGGTTACAAGAGTAAGGTTTGCTTTACTTCCTGGCCCAGTTTTCTAGGGGATTCTACCTTTGGTCCTGAAGGAGTCACTGGAGTGCCACGAAGAGGATTGAAGCTTCAAACCCTAAACCCTAAACCCTAAACCCTAAACCCTAACCCCCAAAACCCTGAAACCTGAAAGCTACGTAATCCCTCCAAAGGTCGCCTACTCACATGACTGTCTTTCGGGCTGCAGGGCTGAGGCGCTCCGCGGTTCTAGGGTAACCCCAGATCCTGAACCCAAAACCACTAAACCCTAAACCCCAAAAGCTGATCCCTAAAAGTCCAAAAACTTACAACTTCTGCCTGGAACTTATTAACCCAAAACCCCAAACCTGGATCGCCAGTCATAAAGTTTCAGAACCTTCACACTCCTTGTCTGTCCGTACACACCTCCATAGCTTTGACTTTGATTGATTCAATCTCACTGGCAGGGGGCCAATACATCCAATTGTAGAGATGTGGTCTTAACTGGGGGGGGGGGGGCTGCTTCTAAAAAGGCGGGCCTCTTCTACACAGGCAAATGTGATATCCCCCAAGCCCCCCTGGAGTTTGAACATTGAGTTTCGCGAGTGTTGTTTTTGCTTCTGCTTTTGCCGGCTTGGGGCGGGAGGGCGGTTCTCTTGTTATAAAATGCCGAGTCAACACGAAGGATGATAGTCGCCAGAGGTATGTGATGCCCAATTGTTGGGTCTTCGTTCTGTCCGCATACATGTGGCCCAACATCAAACCATTCCAAGCCCAAGAGACTGGAACAATATCTTCACCCGCAGGCCTTGAGCAAGACCCTAGCGGTTTAGAGTTTAGGGCTTCGGGTTTTGGGCTTAAGGTTTCGGGTTTGGGGGAACCCTAAACTCTAAAACCCTAAGCCCTCAACACAACTCACCGGGGGAATAATCCCTCTAGACTCCTCAATATGTCCCTTGAAGGGGCTGCACAGGGTACCCAATACCCAAATTCCCAACGTGAGGCAGAACAGAAATCTTAGGGTAGTTACATGGTCCCTTAGTATGGGCCCTCAACAAGGGACCCCTTATATTCCTGTCTTATATACTCTTTGCAAGCCAAGGGCAGAACCCTTTTAAAGAGGGTAGGGGACCATATTCAGGGCCCATGAAACTATATACCCTTACAAGAACGCAAAAGCCATAAACCCTAGAAACCCTAAATCCCGAAACCCCTAAACCCCTAAACCCTAAACCCCTAAACCCCTAAACCCTAAACCCTAACCCTAAACTCTAACCCCCTAAACTCTGAACGGTTCATGTTGCTCTCCTTGAAGTTCTTCTCCAACTTCGCGTCTGCTGCCTCGGCAGAGACTACAGATTGAAGGTGCATGTCTTGTTTGGATTGCGGGGCGTTACGAGGGCTTGGGGTTTAGGGTTTAGGGTTGGCTTAGGGTCAGGGTTTAGGGTTGAGGGCTTGGGCTTTAGACTTTAAGCTGCAGGCCACTAGAGGCTCTACTAGGCAATGATCAGGCAATGGAACAGCTTCCATGTTCCCTTCACTTGGCTTGACGCAAAGACCCCTGAACCCCCAGAACCCGAAGACCCTAACTGTCAAAAACCCTAAAAGCCCGAAAGCCCCAAAACCCCAAAACCCTGAAACCCTGGAACCCCAAAACCAAAAACCCTACATCCCTAAACCCTATAAACCCCTAAACCCCTAAACCCCAAAACCCCAAACCCTAAAGCCTAAAACCCTACATCCCTAAACCCCAAACCCCAAAACCCCAACACCCTAAACGCCTAAAACCCTACATCCCTAAACCCTAAACCCTAAACCCAAAAAAGAACCCTAAACCCTAAAAGCTAAAACCCTGACCCCAAAACCCCCCGAACCCTAAAAGCCTAAAATCGCTGAACCCTAAACCCCCTGGGAGTCGCTGCCGCTCGTTTCTGGAGTTCCTCCTCAAGGCCCTTGTGAATTTCCTGCGGAATGGAGGGTTTAGGATTTAGGTTCAGGGTTTAGGGTCCGACTGCCTGGGGAGAATTTTGTGGGCAAGAGTTTAGGAGGGGTTTAGGGTTTAGGGTTTAGAGGCGAATGACATCTTTGGGTCCACGTATCCATTTCCGACGCATGCCCTGGTTCACTCAAGGCACACAAAGCCTCAAACCTCTGGGAGAGGAAAGCCCTTTAACCCTAAACCCCGAAAAGCATAAGCAGTTAAGGTTGAGGGTTTAGTGGGTTTAGGGTATGCTGGTGTTGTGACTGCAGTGTGACGACCGCATCCCCCTAACCATGAAGCCTCAACTCTGAACCCTAAACCCTAAAACCTATTGCCCGAACACCTGACGCCTGAACTCTAACTGGTAAAACCCTACACCCTAAACACTGGGCGCATTCAAGAGCAATCTGCTCTCTGATTGACAACTCTTTGTGTTTGTCGGTCAAGATGTCTTCGCGCATCTTGTGCTTGACGCGACCACCATGAGAAAATCTCACGAAGATATTGAGCTTCAAACTTTGCAAGAACGAGCCTTCTTGCTGCAGTTGCATTTTCTGCAACGGTCTCCAACTCATTGAATATTATACACATCACTGTTGCAATGCGTGGAATGAAACGCTCAAGTGGTTGTGGTGATTTCTCATATGCGTCACAAAATCTCAATGAGTTTCTCCAAGTCCATAGCGCTCATAATTACGAAGCCGGGCCTCCCCCGAATACTGAACTACGAGGCCGGGCCTTCCCGAATACTAAATGACGAAGCCGGGCCTCCCCGGAATACTAAATTACGAAGCCGGGCCTCCCCCGAATACTAAATTACGAAGCCGGGCCTCCCCCGAATACTAGATTACGAAGCCGGGTTTCCCCGGAGCAGTAAATTACGCATAAACCCTAAACCCTAAGCTCATGGAAGCCCTGAACCCTAAACCTGAGTATGACCAAGCAGGCAAGCAGGGAAGTCCTTCAGCCGGGTGTTCATAAAGTGCTCCACCTGGCAGCATCAGAACACTTCGGCTGATTTGAAGGTTCAGATCTACCCAGAAGTAGGGAGATAGCATACGTGCACTGCTAAGTACTACCACCAAAACAGCATACACAACAATATGCAATCATCACGAATTTGCTCATGAACCTTCAAGTAGGAAAAGGACTTAGGACTTGGGCCTGGAGGATGTACAACCAAGGCCACAGGGGGGCCTAAGCCCCGTGTGTGTGACTGCTCTATACCCTAAACCCTAAACCCTAAACCCTTAACACAGAAAGAAAGAGAGGGTGCGTTTGGATACTTTAGTCAGGTGCCAGATACAGAAGAGCAGTGTAGAGCAACAGCTGTACCTTCAGCGCAGTTCTTTGACGTCAAAAACGAGATGATGTGCGGCTTCGTTTTCGCTCCCGCTGCCCTTCTAACTCTCTCTCTCTCTCTCTCTCTCTCTCCTCTAGTTTTTTGAATCTCTCCCTCATTCTCATTGTCCCTGACGTGCAGGCGGTGTATCCGGATTCTGCTCGTCTCTCTGGTTGTGTCGTTTCGTCTCTCTCGCTCTCGCTCTTTCGCTCTCTCCCTCTCTCTGTCTTTCTCTTCGTTTGCTAACCTATCTCTCCCTCTATGTTTTTTGAAGCCGTGTTTCCGGGATCTGTTCTCTCTCTCATCGCCTCTGTCTCTCTCTCTCTCTCTCTCTCTCTCCACCTCCTTTATATAGAAAATGTTTCTATCTTGATTCACTCGCTTTTCTTTGTTCATGCCTCTCTCTCTCTTTGTCTTGACTGATTTCTTGGTGTGTTGTCTCAAAGGCAGCTACACCAGCGAGGGGGAGGCGGGGACCCCCCAAACCAGTACTAAAACTTGTAGTTCCTTAGTGTTTAGGGCTTAGGATTTAGGTCATATTCTAGGGAAGATACATGGTTCATTCATATGGGTTTCGGTTGCATTCTTGGGAAGATACATGGTTCCTTAGTATGGTCCGTTACCTTCGTTAAAGGGCTCTGAAGTAGGGGCCCATGGGTTCTGTAGGATATATGAGGAGTATAAACATAATTCTCAAACATCTCCAACACATCCACGTGCGGTACTGAATCTTACCTTGCTGTATGGATTTGTGGGTACTTGATCCCTAAGCTCTACACCCTAAACCCTAAACCCTAAACCCTAAACCCTAAATCCTAAACCCTAAACCCTCCCCCACTCGCAGCCTCACCCAAGCGCGCCCGATGGTTTGGGACCACTTCTTTCAGAGAAGCCAAGTCCTGAAGGCGGGCTTGCAGCCTAGGGTTTAGGGTTTAGGGTTTAGGGTTTAGGGTTTAGGGTTTAGGGTTTAGGGTTTAGGGTTTAGGGTTTAGGGTTTAGGGTTTAGGGTTTAGGGTTTAGGGTTTAGGGTTTAGGGTTTAGGGTTTGGGGGATAAAAAAAGGGTACGGCGGCAGATCTCAAGGGTTTGTGGTCTGGGGCTTATTGTTCTTAAACACTTCTAGCCACCCTACCCTTACTGATAGCTTCCGTAATTAATTTGGGGGGGTTTCCGAAAGTCCTTATCATAAGGGAAAACCCTACTATTTGGGGACTATATTAGAGATCCCAAATTTTTGGTCAATCCCATTTCTGATAGGCCCCAAAGGACCCAACACATGATCTTGCACCCCAAACACGGCACCCCAACATGCCTAAACCCTAAACCCGAAACCCTAAACCCTAAACCCTAAACCCTAAACCCTAAACCCGAAACCCTAAACCCTAAACCCTAAACCCTAAACCCTAAACCCTAAACCCTAAACCCGAAACCCTAAACTCTAAACCCTAAACCCAAAAAGAGTGACCCTGATTCTTGCTGGTCTGCTTATATTGGGTTGGGGCGTTACTTGGAGGATCGGGGCACTTAGTAAGTAGGGATATGAGTACCTGAACTCGGATATAAATAGCTATAGTTGTAGTTACCTTACTTATAACCCCACTTACTAAGCCCTCGCAACCCCAAAAGCTCAGCACGAAGCTTCTCTAAATGATGTAGGGTTTATATTTCTTGTACCGCCAAAAGGACACCCAGTATATACACTCACCAATATTGAAAAGGAACCTTATATACACTCACCAAAAACAGTAATATACACCCTGTTCCAAATGCTTTTTACCCATCTGTGTCCACCCTTGGCATCCCTCGCCCACAGCCTCACGAACCTCTCTGAGTTCTGCCTGCAGGCGTTCCTTGACAAGCTGCTCTCAGACTTTCCACTACACTTCGTTGCCTTTGCCCGTGGCTTCCCCTAAGGGTCCATGTACCTATATAGTATATACTTGGGCCTTAAAGGGGTTCCCATATACTTGGGCCTTAAAAGGGTTCCCATATAGTAGCTTTAAGGCCCAAGTATATACTATACGTGGGCCTCTGCAGCTGGCACACCTGTGCCTGGGTGCCGAGCAGGAGCCCAAAAGCCCAAGAGGAACCACAATTTGGGAGCATGGAAGAGGTTCGGGCTTAGGGTTAGGGGCTTTTTCTGGTTTAGGGTCGATTCCTAACCACCCTAACCGCGTAAACCCCAACCGGGAAACCCCAAACCCTAAACTCTGAAAATGTTGTGAGGCTGCCTTCTGCAAGGTCGAGCTTACCGTCCGCAGCGCAGTCACGTCCGCGACGCGGTCAACCTTCTCCTGCGCTTGAGGTGTCAACCATAGGGTTGAGGGCTTGGGGTACGCGTTGAGGGTTTGTAGGGTTTAGGGTTTGTGGGGCTTAGGGTTTGTGGGGTTAGGGTCTAGGGTTTAGGGCTTCGGGTTTCGGGTTTAGGTTTAGGGTTTAGGGCATGAGCTTAGGGTTTTGTAAGGTTCAGGGTTTAGGGTTCAGGGTGTAGGCTCTAGGGAATGAGTTTAGGGGTGTTGTAGGGGTTAGGGTGGAGAGCTTAGGGCACGAGTGGGTTTAGGGTTTTGTATGGTCCAGGGTTGAGGGTATGAGTTGGTTTAGGATCCTGTGGGGTTTAGAGTTTAGGGTTTAGGGTTTAGGGTTTAGGGCATCAGTCGGCTAAGGGTTTTGAAAATATAGGGTTTAGGGTTCAGGGTTTTGTAGGACCGGTTTAGGGAATAGGGTTCGGGGTCTAGGACATGGGTTGGTTTAGGTTTTAGGGTTTAGGGTTCACGGTTTCGATGAGTTGGTTTAGGGCTTTGTAGGGTTTAGGGTTTAGGGCATGTGTTGGTTTAGGCTGTTGTAGGGTTTAGGGTTTAGAATTCAAGCTTTTAGGGGATTGAGTTTAGGGTTTTGTAGGGTTTAAGGTATGTGTGTAGGGGTTGTAGGTTTCGGGGTTAGGGTATGAGCTTGGGTTTGTAGGGTAGGGTTTAGGGTATAAGTTTAGAAGTTGCAAGGTGTCAGGTTTGGGGGATGAGTTGGGGGCTGGTAGGGTGCAGCGTCGGGTTTATAGCACCCCGATTATAATCCCTATGAAGGGCTGCCTGCTAGTAGAAGGGGGAACATCCCAAGGTTTAGGGCTTCTGCAAGGGCCCTAGGCGCCAACCCTAAACCCTAAACCCTAAACCCTAAACCCTAAACCCTAACCCTAAACCCTAAACCCTAAACCCTAAACCCTAAACCCTAAAGCCTAAAGCCTAAACCCTAAACCCTAAACCCTAAACCCTAAACCCTAAACCCTAAACTCTAAACTCTAAACCCTAAACCCTAAACCCTAAACCTCCCCAAAAAAGCCCCCGGCCTGCTCCAAGGTGAGTTGGAAAGCTTCCTTCATGGCCTGAGGGTGGCACAATCAAGCCTTCGGACTGAAAGGGTTTAGGGTTTATGGTTTAGGGTTTAAGGCTCGGAAACACGCAGCCATTCCCCAAACCCGCGAAATACGAAAACAAGCGTAGGCCACCCAAAAACGAAACTCTAAACAGACTCCAACTCCTCAAACCCCTCAGTGGTAAACCCTAAACCCTAAAGAGCCCCCTGAACTCCCCTACACTCGCCCCTCCCCCCAGCCAAATCTCCCTTAACCCCCTCCCTATGTATGGTACCTTCTCTAGAAAAGGCGGCCCCAGATATTTAGAGAACACTCGCAAACCTCCCCTACCCTAAATCCCTCAATCCCAAAACACCAAACCCAAAGCCTCATCCTCAAACCCTAAACCCTAAACCCTGAACCCTAAACCCTAAACCCTAGCCCTAAACCCTAAACCCTATAAACCCTGGCCCTAAACGCAAAAGCCTAACCTCCAGCAGCCCAGAAAGGCCTCCTCAGCGTTCGTCCGGCTCTGTGTCTCCTGTGTTTAAGGGTTCCTTCGAGGGGTCCAGAGGGTCTTTGTTTGGGTGCCTTAAAGGACGTTGAGGACGTTTATTGCTTGTTTGGGGTTTAGGGTTTTAGGGTTTTAGGGCTTTAGGGTTTTGGGGTTTTAGGGTAGGGTGTTGGGGTTTTAGGGTTTAGACACCCTCTGAAATCTCTTGGGGTCTTTGGGGTGCCTGATTCCTCGGGTAGGGCTCTTTGCGCGGGTTGCTTGAAGGGTTGCGGTTTGGGGCTTAATTAGGGCTCTTGGGGCTCTTAGGGCTTTTAGGGCTCTTAGGGCTCTTTGGGCTCTTAGGGCTCTTAGGGCTCTTAGGGCTCTTAGGGCTCTTAGGGCTCTTAGGGCTCTGAGGGCTCTGAGGGCTCTTAGGGCTCTTAGGGCTTTTAGGGCTTAGGGTTTAGGGTTTGGGGCTTTGCAGGGGTCTCTGGGGGATGTGTGGTGACTCTCTAAAAAACGTAACCTAAGGTGTTGAGGGCAGCTAACAGTAGTTGAAGGGTTCCTATATATAGGGGGATCTAGGGTTTAGGGTTTAGGGTTTAGGGTTTAGGGTTTAGGGTTTAGGGTTTAGGGTTTAGGGTTTAGGGTTTAGGGTTTAGGGTTTAGGGCTACTAACCAACAGTAAGTTTGGGAACTGGAAGGTTAGACGGGCACATCATCCCTCTGCGTCGAAAGCTTGCACTTCTGAATTTCTGAACACCTCAAGTCCTAAGAGCCCCGTGCCTAAACCCTAAACCTTAAACCCTAAACCCTAAACCCTAAACCCAGACCCCAAAACCCTAAACCCTAAACCCTATTCCACCCCAAACCCGTCCTTGAGAATGCTCTCCCGAACTTCGCGAACGAGCTGGCTCAGCGTTTCCTGGCACGGACTGGGTTTAGGGTTGTTTAGGGTTTAGGGTTTAGGATTTAGGGTTTAGGGTTAAAGGTTAAAGGTGTTTGGGGTTGAGGGTCTGGGCTTCGGATATGGGGGAAGCAACCATCCCTTTAGGTATGGGGTAAGCAACCATCCCCTCAGAAACCGATTCCCCTCTTACGAAGCAGAGTCTGAGGAAGACTTAGCATTTTCAAGTCGGACGTCAAGATCCTGTAAGAAACTATGAGCAACAAGGATGCAACAAAAACACGAATACTGTAGCGAACTGGCCATGGGTAAAGACGACCTTGAGCGAACACCTTGAACGTCTTAGTATGTGCGCCTCTTTACCAGTTAGAGTGGCATCGGCGATTTGGAGACTAAACCCTGAACCCTAACCCTAAACCCCTAAAAGGCTGAACCTTGACCCCTAAACCCCAAACCCTAGAATTCGGAGTTGCGGTGCCTTTGCCAGGCTCTTCGGATCTCGGACGACTCTTGGGACCGAGGATGCCGTACAAGGAGGTTTTCGGCTGAGGGCCGAGGGTTGCAGTTCATCAGTATCCCTAAACCCTAAACCCTAAACCCTAAACCCAAACCTAAACCCTAAACCCTAAACCCTAAACCCTAAACCCTAAACCCTAAACCCTAAACCCTAAACCCTAAACCCTAAACCCTAAACCCTAAACCCTAACTCTGGGTTCGAGGGGACGGGCTCTCGGGATGCGGCGCACCTCGCCCTCGCGACGCTCCGTCATCTCCTGGCAAACGGTCTGCTTCAGCGCATCCAAGTCCTGAACTGGAGGCGTCGGGCTTGGGGTTGACCCTAAACCCTAAACCCCAAACCCTAAACCCTAAACCCTAAACCCGAATGAGCCCTCATTAACCCTGAGCCCTAAACTGTAAACCCTAAAGGGCGGCTGGTCAGGAGCTTGCAGGGTTGATATTGAGCTTTTAGGGCTTATGGGGCTTCTATATTTAGATGAGCTATTCTCCAAGTTTGAAGGTTCTCTTATATGTCCTGTATGGTACCGCACCTTAGGCAAAGGACCCCCCAAAAGGGACCCTAACTTAGAGAACTACCCTAAACCCAAAACCCAAAACCCAAAACCCTAAACCCAGTACAAGATGTAGGGTAAGGTCCCGAGCCCTGAAACTGTGCTCTGGGCTCCTGGTGCCTGTGTGTGCGAAAACTCTTCGAAACAGCTTCAGAAACTAACTTAGGGTTTAGGGTTTAGGGTTTATGGTTTAGGGTTTAGAGGTTGGCGGCAATGTCAGGGATGCCTCTAAGTGTAGATCTCAGCATCTAGGAGCCTGAAACATCTTACACTCTCAACTCACAACATCCATTATAGGTTGTATACATATATATATATATATGCTATCCCAGTGTAGGGACTGTGTAAGGGGCGGGGTGTTTTCCCCAAGGCTGCGATATAATAAAGTGCCATATCTGGCTGGTCCACCCCCTTAAACCCACTGTAAGGACATGTGAAGAAGTTGATGGTGGCCGCCCCGCCCCCCCCCCCCCCCCCCCCCTCCCCGCCCTGGTCGCGCGCCCGCCAGTGGCTTTCAAGAGCGAAGATGAGGTGCTCCTTTGCTTTGGCGCCGGCTGGGACCTTTAGCCCTCGGTTCTGGCAATGTAAGGAGGCATCCGCTGAGCTCCTTCGGAGGCATAAACACGTCCAGGAATGTCACGTGCATGCTTTGCGGCTCAATCAGGATGTCTTCTTCGTGGTAAGGCCTAAACCCTAAACCCTAAACCCTAAGCCCTAAACCCTAAACCCTAAACCCTAAACCCTAAACCCTAATGGGATTTTGCGACGCCATTCAAACCTGGAGCGCAACCTTGCACCTCAAGTGCGTGGTGGCAGCGCTGACAGCTGCCGTCCTTCCTAAAGGCCCTCGAGACACTGCAACCCAAACCCTAAAACCCTAAACCCGAAACCCTAAACGTTAGCCCTAAACCCTAAACCCTAAACCCTAAACCCATGAAGCTTGTTCCCTGATTATTAGGGTCCCTTTTTTCAGAGCAACTCCAAGGACGTCCCAAACGACCAGCCCCCCCAGACACAACCCCCGCACCTAGAAATCCCCAAGCCCGAAAAGCCCTCCATGGCTCCTCCAACGCAGCCTTCAGGTCCTCGCGAAGGCGCCGGTACTGGAGGTCGGCAGCTTGCTGCTCCCGAGACCTTTTGGGGGGTTTAGTGTTTAGGGTTTAGGGTTTAGGGTTTGGGGTTTAGGGTTTAGGGTTTAGGGCTGCTCCCGAGACCTTTTGGGTTTACGGGGCTTCGTGGGGGTTTGGCGTTTAGGATTTAGGATTTAGGGTTTGAGGCGTTAGGGTTTTTGACCTCTGGGTTGATAGGGACTTAGGGGTGGGGGAGGAGGGGGGGGGGGGGGGATGGGGTTTAGGTGTTGATTGTTGAGGGGTTTAGGTTTAGCTCTCCTTTTCGGGTTTGGGGCGATTTCGAGGCTCAGCGGTTGAGGCGCTTGGAGCCTCAATGTACTTGGAGGTTCATGGTACTAATTAGCCAAATCATAACAGTACTTATACGACTGTGCTTATAACCACATTAGGGCACTTAAGGGGCTTAAAAGTGGGTTCTAAGTACAGTTATAATTGGTTCATAAGCACCATGAACCTCCAAGTAGCGTTGAGAGGGTTTAGGGCCTCTAAACCGGAGCCAGAATCTCCATACCTGTGGAGCCATGCCAGTCGGCCCTATTAGGGTTTATATAGGGTTTAGGGTGTAGGCTTTATCCGCTGAGATGGCTACGGAGGAGGGTGGTTTTAGGGTCACCTTGCGGACTCATCGGCCTTTCTGTGTCTGACTGCCCATGGAGCATGGGGGCACTTAGTTAGTGGGGATACAAGAACCTTCATTGGGATGCTAAGTAGGCATAAGTATAGCTACCTTACTTATAGTAGGTATAAGTATGGTTACCTTACTTAGAAAAGTAGGTATAAGTATAGTTGCCTTACTTATAACTCACGTAGTAAGTCCCCTGATCCTTGAGTTGTGGACTTGGCCACATCCCAAATCTCAGAATCGCAGGAACCCCTGTCGGACCGCGTAGCTCCAAAAAACGATCACACAGGCGATCAAAATTCAGATCTTCCAAAATTTTCCCTGGGAGGCCAGCATTTCTTGACATGCGCTTCAAGATGACACCTCTTCGCAATAAAACGGACGAAAGAACTGCCAGTTAAACAGGACCGGGTTGTGGGGTTTAAAGTTTTGGAGTTTAGGGTTTAGGGGTTTTCGGATCTTAAGGGTTTAAGGGTTTCAGGGTTAATGGTTAAGGGTTTAGGGGTTTAAGGGTTTAAGGGTTTAAGGGTTGAAGGGTTTAAGGGTTTAGGGGTTTAGGGGTTTAGGGGTTTAGGGTTAGGGTTTAGGGTTTAGGGTTTAGGGTTTAGGGCTAGGGTTTAGGGCTTTGTAGTCGGGAGCTGTGGACGCCGGGCCTTGTGATGAGCTCATCACCCAATGCCTTGATCTTCTGAGCCACCTTGGGGAGATCCCCAGAGGAAGGCAGGAATAGAAAAGGGCCAATGTTTAGGGTTTAGGGTTTAGGGCTTAGGGCTTAGGGCTTAGGGTTTAGGGTTTAAGGTTTAGGATTTAGGGTTTAGGCGTTAGGCGTTTAGGGTTTAGGGTTTGGGGCACACCCACACTGGCGTCCTAGGGTGGTGCATCCCCTCGAAACTGGGTTCCGGGTTTGTAGGTGTTAGGGCTTTTAGGGCGTTGAGTATTCTCAGGGTCTCGGAGGTTCCCTATGCTGGGTCTGCTGTGCTACAAGCGCGAGACGACTGAAGCCCCCTGGGGTTTTGGATTTCGGTCTCTGGGATGAAGCCTTGTGGGAAGCTTTCGAGAAACAACCGCCACGCATCCTTGATTGCCAAAGCCACAAATCCCAGAGGAGTATATAAATACAAAAATCAATAAACGTCAAAGATTTCAAATGCTCTTGATCCTGTTTTACCTTGTTGTATATACCGAAATGCTTGATATGGTGGTCTTTCATTTCGTTGTCCCTCAAAATGCTTTCCACCTAAAGTGTTGATTGTTGATCATTCCACCAACAAATCCAAAATAAGCTAATCCTCCTTCTTTAAAACAATTCTACAATATCACTTCTTGCTGGTGCCTAAACCATCTAGAGAAGGCATAAAGCATAAACCCTAAATCCTAAACCCTCGACCCTAACCCCGCCAACCTGAACCTAAGACCCCCTCCAGGCACACGTGCATCCCTGGTTGAAAGGGCTCGTGAACACTTCCAGTCTGGGCTGCGAGTAGGCATGTCACCGTAACAATTTGCGCTACTTCTTAGGGTTTAGGGTTTAGGGCTTAGGGTTTAGGGTTTAGGGTTTAGGAGCCCTCCAAGAACTCTGAAGCTTAAACCCTAGAACTTCAAACCCTCCCTGAAGGTTCATGAGTACGAATTCGGTCGGGTGGCAATGACCCTTGCTAATTTCCAGGCACATATCCCCTAAACCCTAAGCCCTGAACCCTGAACCCGAAACCCGAAACCCTAAACCCTAAACCCTAAACCCTAAACTAAAAAAACAAATCAAGTGCTGGGCCCACCTCTGTCTCTGTTGCCGCGCGCTCCTTCGTCTCAGTTTCGAGGTCTGCTCGCGCCTGTTGAGAACAGGTTCTGGTTTAGTAGGGTTTCGCCCTAGGGTTTAGGGTTTGGGTTTGCGGTTTAGGGTTTGGGGTTTGGGGTTTAGGGTCTAGGGTATAGGGTTGCCGGGTTTCGACCTAAAGGGTTTTCCCTGACACCTAAACCCTGAACCCTAAAGCCTAAACCCTAACACCCTGAACCCGAAACCCTAAACCCTAAACCCTGGAGGTTTAGGGTCTGGGGGCTGTCCCAGGCCTTCTTCATTCGGAGCTCGAGGCTCTCAAACATGGCCAAGCGAAGGCCGCGCTCCTGTGGCTAGTTGCCCGAGCAAGGATGGCTTTAGGGTTCAGGATGTTTTCAGGGTCTACTGCCCTATAAACACTATAAACACTATCAACCCTATAAACCCTATAAACACCTATAAAACCATTTGAACCCTATAAACCCTGTAAACACCTTTAAACCCATAAACCCCTAAAATCTCTTTAAACCCTATAACCCCCCCCTATAAACCCTATAAACGCCTTCAAACCCTGACCTTTAGGTATAATGTGAGGTAGCCTCTTTGTTTAGTATTGGGGGCCTAGCCCGGGCTTCCCCCCAATACTGAATCACGAGCCCGGGCCTCCCCCCAATACTAAATCACGAGCCCGGCCCTCCCCCCAATACTAAATCACGAGCCCGCGCTTCCCCCCAATACTAAATCACGAGCCCGGGCCTCCCCCCAATACTAAATCACGAGCCCGGGCTCGTAATTTAGTATTGGGGGAATTTCTATTTCAAAGATTTCAAAGATTTCAAAGGTTGCAAAAGGCGGGGGAAACTCCCGGGAAGTTTCCCAAACCTTTTGCAACCTTTGAAATCTTTGAAATCTTTGAAATAGAAATTCCCCCCTTGCTTCCCCAATACTAAACCACGAGCCCGGGCTTTCCCCCAATACTAAATCACGAGCCCGGGCTTCCCCCCAATACGAAATCACGAGCCCGGGCTTCACCCCTAATACTAAATCACGAGCCCGGCCCTCCCCCCAATACTAAATCACGAGCCCGGCCCTCCCCCCAATACTGAATCACGAGCCCGGCCCTCCCCCAAATACTAAATCACGAGCCCGGGCCTCCCCCCAATACTAAATCACGAGCCCGGGCTCGTAATTTAGTATTGGGGGAATTTCTATTTCAAAGATTTCAAAGATTTCAAAGATTTCAAAGGTTGCAAAAGGCGGGGGAAACTCCCGGGAAGTTTCCCAAACCTTTTGCGACCTTTGAAATCTTTGAAATCTTTGAAATCTTTGAAATAGAAATTCCCCCCGGGCTTCCCCAATACTAAACCACGAGCCCGGGCTTCCCCCCAATACTAAATCACGAGCCCGGGCTTCCCCCCAATACTAAATCACGAGCCCGGGCTTCACCCCTAATACTAAATCACGAGCCCGGCCCTCCCCCCAATACTAAATCACGAGCCCGGGCCTCTCCCCAATACTAAATCACGAGCCCGGCCCTCCCCCCAATACTAAATCACGAGCCCGGGCTTCCCCCCAATACTAAATCACGAGCCCGGGCTCGTAATTTAGTATTGGGGGAATTTCTATTTCAAAGATTTCAAAGATTTCAAAGGTTGCAAAAGGCGGGGGAAACTCCCGGGAAGTTTCCCAAACCTTTTGCAACCTTTGAAATCTTTGAAATCTTTGAAATCTTTGAAATTTGAAATAGAAATTCCCCCAACACTAAATAACAGCCCGGGCTCCATTTAGTATGGGGGGAGGGCCGGGCTCGTGATTTAGTATTGGGGGGAAGCCCGGGCTCGTGATTTAGTATTGGGGGGAAGCCCGGGCTCGTAATTTAGTATTGGTGGAAGCCCGGGCTCGTAATTTAGTATGGGGGAATTTCTATTTCAAAGATTTCAAAGATGTTCAAAGATTTTCAAGTTTGCAAAAGGCGGGGGAAACTCCCGGGAAGTTCCCAAACCTTTTGCAACCTTTGAAATCTTTGAAATCTTTGAAATAGAAATTCCCCCAATGCTAAATTACGAGCCCGGGCTCGTGATTTAGTATTGGGGGGAGGGCGGGGCTCGTGATTTAGTATTGGGGGGAAGCCCGGGCTCGTGATTTAGTATTGGGGGGAAGCCCGGGCTCGTGATTTAGTATTGGGGGGAAGCCCGGGCTCGTAATTTAGTATTGGGGGAATTTCTATTTCAAAGATATTTCAAAGAATTCAAAGATTTCAAAGGTTGCAAAAGGCGGGGAAACTCCCGGGAATTTCCCCCGCCTTTTGCAACCTTTGAAATCTTTGAAATCTTTGAAATAGAAATTCCCCCAATGCTAAATTACGAGCCCGGGCTCGTGATCTAGTATTGGGGGGAAGCCCGGGCTCGTGATTTAGTATTGGGGGGAAGGGCCGGGCTCGTGATTTAGTATTGGGGGGAAGCGCGGGCTCGTGATTTAGTATTGGGGGGAGGGCCGGGCTCGTCATTTAATATTGGGGAGGCCCGGGGGCAATTTCTATTTCAGAGATTTCAATCATTTCAAAGATTTCAAAGGTTGCAAAAGGCGGGGGAAACTCCCGGGAAGTTTCCCAAACCTTTTGCAACCTTTGAAATCTTTGAAATCTTTGAAATAGAAATTCCCCCAATACTAAATTACGAGCCCGGGCTCGTGATTTAGTATTGGGGGGAGGCCCGGGCTCGTGATTTAGTATTTGGGGGAGGGCCGGGCTCGTGATTTAGTATTGGGGAGAGGCCCGGGCTCGGGATTTAGTATTGGGGGGAGGGCCGGGCTCGTGATTTAGTATTGGGGTGAAGCCCGGCTCGTGATTTAGTATTGGGGGGAAGCCCGGGCTCGTGATTTAGTATTGGGGGGAAGCCCGGGCTCGTGGTTTAGTATTGGGGAAGCCCGGCGGAAATTTCTATTTCAAGATTTCAAAATTTCAAAGATTTCAAAGATTTCAAAGGTTGCAAAAGGTTTGGGAAACTTCCCGGGAGTTTCCCCCGCCTTTTGCAACCTTTGAAATCTTTGAAATCTTTGAAATCTTTAAAATAGAAATTCCCCCAATACTAAATTACAAGCCCGGGCTCGTGATTTAGTATTGGGGGGAGGCCCGGGCTCATGATTTAGTATTTGGGGGAGGGCCGGGCTCGTGATTTAGTATTGGGGGGAGGCCCGGGCTCGTGATTTAGTATTGGGGGGAGGGCCGGGCTCGTGATTTAGTATTAGGGGTGAAGCCCGGCCTC